ATCAGTCAAGTTACGGCAGGGTTGGATATTTCAGCAGGACAATGAACCCAAAATGCAGTTCCAGATAAACTACTACCCACTTTTTAGCAAATACAAATATAAAATATTAATGTCATCATTGGGATGCCCAAATTTTTGCTGTTTTTGTTATGATTTAAATTGCATTGCATGCGATAAATGTTATGTCTGAATTGAAATGTGGCTTTTTCCATGGAGGATAAAATATACTTAAATTAAATCGCTGCTTCGAAAGACCAGCAAACTACGACTTGCAATTTGATAATTATCAGGGATGCCCAAAAATTTGCATACATCTGTATATAATTACAATTTTGAAAGCATGTCTGGTATATTGGTAGATTTATCGAAAATATTATTGAGGCAAAATGTTTTAAATTTACATTGTACTCTAGAGATTTTTTTGACACAGACTCAAATAATTTTTAATCCTGTTATAATTTTTCCAGTTAACATGTAATTATATTTGATAATATATATATTAAAGTGTTCAGAGAGGACTAAATATAGACTTTTATGTGTAATAATTTGATTCTTTTATTAGAATTGCTAATTCTGTTAGCAAAAAAAAATAGCTAATTCTGTGCTACATCAATTCTGTGCTACTTCAAAACGCATAGGAAATGCTATCAAATAATTCACTGCTAATGTGCTGTAGTTCAGTAATAAAAGACATTTCAAAATGCTTTATAGACTTCATTTTCACATGAACATGTTTATGCACGACAGTAGTTCACTCTTGGGAATTTCAGTGATAATTAAATTCCATCTTATGAAAAATGCAAACGATGTCACCTTTGCTAAACACCCCATTTGTTTTTGACTTGTAAATAAACCACCAGTGCGTTTTCATCTTCAGCATTTACTGCTAAAGCACTATAGGGACTTTTTGTGTCAGCTCTGATCCAATCAGACGCATTGTAGCTGCTATACTGTCAATTAGAATTAATGTGTTAATAACATTGTAGTGTATTAATTGCATGTGTTAAATTTGACAGATTTCAGAATCATAAGTGACAGAAAAAAATCCTCAATGTGGATTTGTGGTGATTTTGCTGCACCTTGGCATTCAATCTGTTTATTCTCTCTGATCTGTTCATCCTCTCCTTCATTACGTTCTCCTCTGTTTGTGTGTGTTGATGGCATAGTTCTGCTGATTGCAAAGCCTTAGGCAGCTGGAAGGTTCTGCTGGTGTTTTATTTATAATGATGCACAAATGCACACATATACATGGTATAGCAAATAAATAGCCTTTGTACGTTTATTTCTAACTAGAACACCATCTGCAACCTAAAATCTTGCTTTTCAGGCTGCTATTTGAATCAAGCTGAATCTTTAATTTGAGTAAGAAAAACAAAACAAAACAAGAGAAAACTGCTAGACTATTGCATTCGGGGTGGAAAGGGAAAGGTTTTAAAGCAATCTGCTCTGTGATGAAGAAAAGGGAAGAGAGAGTGAAGGATAGTGGCGAGGGCAAATGCTGAGTGTTACTCCTGCTGCTAAATGAGTCTCACAGCCCCTAATGTGCTTTCACTCCCCGCTTCTCTCCTCGAGCCTCATTTGTGCTCCCTTTCTTTCTCTTTTCTTCTCTCCTCTCATTACTTCTCCTTTGTCATAATTCCTGCATGTGTTTTCGCCATTACACTCCTGAGATGTTTTTGTAACTCTGCACTTAAATGGAGTGCCGGAGCTAGTTTTGGAGCTCTAACAACAAATTGTAATCATTTAATATTTATGTGGTTTTTATATTTATTCAAAGATTTTAGTTTGGAATTAATTCATGCTTTAAATTTCATGCCTTTTTTCATGCCTTTTTTTTCTAAACTTGACAAATTTGTATATTTTTGAAGAAGCAACATTTCTTTGGATTGTGCAAGGGGTCAACCCAATCTGATTACATTTCATTCATTCATTCAGTAATTTTCTTCCACTTTCTGTATCTGGGGCTGGGTAGCGGGGGCAGCAGTTTCTGACTTCCCTCTTACCAGACATTCCTCCAACTCTGCCAGGGGGATTCCAAGGCATTCCCAGGCCAGCCGAGAGGCATAGGCCGTCTACCTTGTCCTGGGTCTTCCCCAAGGTCTCTTCCTGTTGGGGTATGCCTCGAACACCTTCCTAGATACGCGTCCGGGAGGCATCTGAAACCGATGCCCGAGCCACCTCAGGTGGCTTCTCTCAATGTGGGGGAGCAGTGACTACTCCAAGCTCCTCCTGGATGACAGAGCTCCTCATCCTATCTATAAGGGTGCACCCTGCCACCTTTTGAAGAAAACTCATTTTGGCTGCTTGTATCTGAGATCTTGTCCTTTCGGTCATGACCCAGAGCTCATGAGCATAGGTATGAGTAGGAATGTAGATTGACCAGTAAATCTGTAAATTGCCTTTCTGCAGGATCAGGGGGGGCGCAAGTCGGAGCACTCATTCTGATTACTAGGCTCTGGTTGGGGAGATTCCTAATTCACCCAAGACAAACAGTAACAATTAGCTAAAGATTGCTAATGAAAATTCTGTCCATTGCAACCTGCAGAACCTGCCTATTCAGTTTCTTTTTAAGTGCATAAATATTTGCCTTTTGGCCGAGCTCCTTCTTTAGTTAAAGTTCATTTAAGTTCAGTTCAGTGTAGTTTTAATTTCACTACTGAAAGTCCAAACACTGAAGTACAAATCCTCAAATCCAAACACTGAAGAAAAAGTCCCAAACTACGCAAACCAGTGGCAACAGTGGCGAGAAACTTCACCAATCGACAAAAGTGAAGGAAAATCCTTGAGAGAAACCAGGCTCAATCACAAAATACCATCAGCTTGTTTAATTAATATTATAAGCAGGGAAATCCGTTTTCATGCAAACTTTGGGCAACATCGTTAAAATGGGAAATACATTTTTAGCCTACAATTTTGTGAAACTGCACAATTTGACTTTTTATTAAACATATGTTTAAATGCAATTTTTAGGTAAAATGCCAACAACATTTCCTTTTTACATTAATAATAGTTTTAGGGGCATATTATCAATGAATAAAGGACTATTTGTGCAGTTCCTTGCACAACACCAAATGGAATACATGTGATCAAGATAGAGTTTTATAAGTTTAAAAAGTTTTTTAAACAGTGGATGTTTGTAAAAACATAAGTTATAGATGGTAAAAACGCTGTAATTCATCACCACAGCCAAATGTACTTTTATAAAAGAAAATGCTTTAGTCCTGGTTTGTGGTTGTTAAATCAGTTTTTTTTAGTGCAATAACATAATAGATATTCATACAGCAGTGGATATTAATGTGTATCCTGTCACATTAGCTGCGCAAAAGCAGCGCAAAATTAAACGTGCAGGCTATTTGTGTGTGTGTGTGTGTTGGGGGGGGGGGGGGGGGGGGTTCTCCATATGTATGTGTGTGCGTGAACTTTGTAATGATATTGAGTGTGACTTGACTTGAATTAACTCCAAGACAAATACATCAAATAATCATTGGGAAAGTTCTTACTGTAGTATTTCTCACAACCGAGATCTGCTTCCTTCATGTCGGTCACTGTGCTGTTTATCTTATGTAGCCGGAAACTGAGGCACTCTTTGTCTGGCATGTAGGAATGGTGGGCGAGGAGAACAGTAGGGCACAAGCAACAAAAACAGCTACAATGTGTTCAGAGCAAAGAAATTCCAATATTCTGAAAGGTATAACAAATAATCTGATGGGTGTTTTGAGCTGAAACTTTACAGACACATTCTGGAGACAAAATAGTCTTATCTTAAATCTTAAAATAAAGGGTAAAATAGGGGCTCTTCAAATACACATATTGTATTTACTCACACATCACCCTCACTCAAGCAGTTCTAAAGGTTTTCCGGGTAAACAAAAAAGAAGATATTTTGATGTTTCAAGTCATTTTATTGTAGAAAAAAGTTTCAACATTTCTCAAAAAATCAATGTGTTCAAAAGAAAAAAAGAAACCAGGTTGGTAAAAAATGTATTGGTAATTAATAGTTTTAGCAAGCAAATTTTTAGCTA